ACCACCTTAGTGGTGGTGACAGGAGGTCTTGTTAAATGGGGAGTTGTGCAGTTGTTTCTTGCCACAAAGACCTGTGATTAGTCGTGTCTCGCTAACAAACAGCAGAGCGGAGCACAGCTCGCGTACAGGAGCTGCACACAAGCTGAATCAGGGCTGATTTGATTACGTTGGTTTCTTTTTTGCTGTCCTTGGCAGTGTTCCCAGCTGTTGTGCTGTTTCCCTCTCTCTGTGTTGTAGAAAGCAGGAGAGTGGGGGGCTTGCAGTCCTGGGACATCATCGCAGAAGGATGGGAGACTCGACCTGTCTTGTTGCTGTGCTTCAGTTGTCGTGCTCACAGCTGCTCTTGCATCCCTGTCTGTACTGTCGCTCAAGTCTTGGCTTTTCCCCACCTCTATCTCAGCTTCCTTGTGCAGTCCCTTCGGATTCAGAAGGAAGCCTTCCAGCAGCAGTTAGTCACCCACCCAGGTGCGTTTTTCTTCTGCAGAAAGTTGGAGGGCTTGTGATCTGCCCATTCCACCTACCTCTGGCTATTCAGACATCCAGTTTCCTATGTGACAAGAAAAATACAGTTGTACTCATCGTCTTCCCCCAGGAAGAGATGAAGGAGAAGGTTTGGACAAAGGCAGGCCCCCTTGAAATTGCCCCTTCTGGCATATGTCTGCAGATGCACGATGGTTGTCTCCTATCTCGGCTACCCAGAAAGTGTATTAGAGATCACTGGACCTTGAGTATGAGAGGAATCTGGTGGGTTTGTGATAGGTTTGGGTTGGGGAGGTGTGATGGGGTAGCTCAGGGGAGGATCTGGGACCCCTGGAAGGCTTTCTATGCTTCACCCTGGCAAGGTGCCCTGAGCCAGGGCCGAGCAGCTTCTCTTGGCTCCTGTTTGCAGATGGCACTTCAGTGGTGCCAAAGACAACAGACTCCAGGAGCTTCTGTCCTCAATGCACATGGTGAAGTGAGCGGGGACTGACGCAGCGCGATGGGCTTGAGGGTTGCGCTGTGCTTCAGTGAAGTCCTTGGCTCTTCCTTATGGCATGGCAGGTCCCCAAGAGCCCCTGCCTCCCCTGGGCAGCCTGGCAGGACCAACCTGTTGCTGAGTCCTCACGCAGCTGCTGGATAGGTCAGCCCTCTGTATGCAGGAAGCACATTTGTCTTTAATCCTGTAATTGAGAGTTTCAGTAATGACTTGCCTGTAAAGATCAAAAGCTGGGGTACAGGCTCCTTCCTGCCTGGTTCCAGACACGGTTGGGAAGATTCAATTTCCCTGCACGCAGCAGCCTCCGCGTATGTACGAGCCGCTCTTGCAGCTTTGCAGAGAAGCTGTAGGGCTGCCTGCTCCCCAGATGCCCCACGGCTGGAGGGCAGTATCCAGGCTTGGCTGGACCTGGTTTGCAACCTTACCAGGCCAGAGATGATGGCAATACCATTCCCTCCTGGGTGCTGGGGCATATTTGGGCCTTGGAGAGGGCTGCTGTGTAGTGTGCTAAAAGAGGCAGTTGAAGTGGATGATGTGACTGGGGAAAGCCTTGGTGGCCACTTTAGCATGTTACCAAGCAAGCTGCGGGGTGCGGAGGGCTGCTCCCATTGTGCAGGGAACAAAGCCCAGCTATTCACTGCCTGCGACAGGCGCTGGGGATGGGAGGAACGCCGGCGAGATGGAGAGTCGTTTCTGCGCAGCCCTTGGAGTCCGTGCCAAGAACAGACAGATCCCAAATGAAGATGAGATTCCCTCCCTGTGTGGTTCGCCGCCCTGACTCCTCCTCGCTGTGGCCCCATGCAGATATTCAGAGTTTCCTAGAAATAAAAGAAGCCTCTCTTCTCTCTCTCTCTCCATCCATGCGTGGAAGGGGGGTCCTCAGCCTTGGAGTGAGGTGCAGACACAGACTCCACAACTTGGAAAGTTGTAAAGTAGGTATGTTTATTGCAGCGCCGGGCGCACGGGGGATCGCTCCACCACAAACGTGCACACCCGCCGTAGCAGTTTTTCTTGTATTTATACAGAAATACTCATCACGCTCCCCCCAAAAGGGCAGTCTCTCTCTCGGGAGATCGTTTCCATAGTCCTTGCCTCAGGATCCGCCTCCGGCTCCTCCTCGACACGCCTCCTGGTGGTCGTGGGCAGGGGTCTTTGGGATGAAGGCCGTAGGTCTTCCTCGCTGTGTGTTTTTCACTTCTTCCCTAAAACTCTAAAACTCTTGTTTTGGCTGGGCCCATAGAGCCAAACCGTTTCCCTGGCCTTGGGTGGACACCTGGCTGTCTCCTACTTGTTATTGCTTGAAGACAATTGTTGGTTCTCGTTAGTCCTTATCTCTCCTCTTTGTCTGTTACAACCTTGCCATCATTTATTTTGTCTCTCTTACCGATCTTCTTTCTGGAGAGCATTTCACAGCAGGGATTAGTATTTGATAACTTCTAACATTTCACAGAGCTATGTATTCCAGAGTTTTATGCAGTCTTGTGTCTACTCTTATACCTATCCATAGAAATAGTAGCTAATATAGTTTTATACCTATACCTATCCCCCTATCAGGAGAAGGCCTTCACAGGGTGGCTGCCCTCTCAGCTGGCTCCTGTAAAGGCCAGGCTGGCCTGCTGGATGTGCCTCTCCTGCACGTTGCTCCCAGCACCATCTTTCACAGCCCTGTGTGCCTTTTGAGCTCGACTTTTCCCATCAGTGAGCAAAAAGGAGCCTGGCATGCAGCTCTCAGTCGAGATCACCCACTGACCTCCACAGCCAGGATGGTGAGACGTGCCCTTAGCCTGTACTGCTGGCGAGCCCCTGCTCAGGGCAGAGCTGGAAGGGGCTGGTGTTGGTTTGCCTACAGCTGGAGGGAGCAGCTCAAAAAACCAGCAGCAAAAAAGGCCATCTGTCGCTCCAGTACGGATCCGCCGGGCTCCGCTGCCGTCAGCGTTTCACCTCGCCTTGATGTACTCCTGCCTCCAGGGAGCAGAAGAACCTCCGCAGCACGGATAAATGCAGATTCTCACCAGGGTCTGACTGTCTCCTCTGCCTCTGCACGCCCCTCCCGGCCCCTGGCAGCGGGCAAGCCTAAAGCATAAAGCCCAGATCAAGAGGGAGGCAGGT